GGCACTCCCATCACCATTGCGACGTGAGAAATTGGCACTGGCTGTGGAGAATGAGGGGTACATTCGCAAGCTCCTGGAACTTTTCCATGTATGTGAGGATTTGGAGAACAGGGAGGGACTGCATCACCTGTACGAAATCATTAAAGGCATCTTCTTACTCAATCGTACTGCACTCTTTGAAGTTATGTTCTCCGACGAGTGCATCATGGATGTTATTGGTTGTTTGGAGTTTGACCCAGCACTCCCACAGCCACGCCGGCATCGGGAGTTTCTCACTAAGACAGCTCGCTTTAAGGAGGTGATCCCCATCTCTGATCCTGAACTGCGTCAGAAAATACACCAGACATATCGGGTGCAGTATATTCAGGACATGGTGCTGCCCACACCCTCTGTTTTTGAGGAAAACATGCTGTCAACCTTGCACTCCTTCATCTTCTTCAACAAGGTGGAGATTGTGGGAATGCTACAGGTGAGATGGGCAGATATGCATATGTGTGTCTCCATTGAAAGGTCTTTTGTTCTGCTTAGATGAGGTGCATGTATACATCACATTTTCACATCAAAAATTTCCTCAAAGCAAATAATACAAATGTGTATTTGAACCTAATACAAGTTTTACAAACAGTCAACCCTGTGATAAGATCAAAATGCAAATGGAGAGTATTAAAAATAGTGTTTGTGCAGTGAGCTCTGGAAGTTAGAGTAGTTGTATTGTTCAAAGGTTTTATTATTGACTGATTGTACTTTACTCAGTCTGAGTTTGTCTGCTTGTCTTTTATGGTCATGTGACCTTTTTGTTTTTGTACTGTGTCAACTCAGCAGTGTTTGTGTATGGCCATCTCCATAGAGATCGAGAAGAGTTGTGTAAATCAGTTATGCTGTACTTGAGGAAAACTGAAAGTGGCACACTGTTGACTCTTGTACATTGTGCTGTGTGAAGTTAGGACGTCAAACACTACTTTCCTTCCTTATCATGCGGCAAAATGAACAAACCCAGTGTTTTTGACATTTAAACTACCACTTGATATACTGGATTGCAGATCATTAAATGAACTTGGTTTTCAATTTTTATTTTTATGTCTTACACCAACAGTCAAAAGATTGGACACAGGTAGTGCATATACAAAATTATCAAATATTTTATATACAGCAGATTTTTGTCATGTAAACTCTACTATTCAATAACAGCAAACAATTTGTTTGCTTATTTCTGTTATGAATTGAATTTAAAGAGGTCTTTCTAGTGAAAGATTTTTGTCACACTTTAAGTGCTTCAAAATAAGTCACCGGTAAATGTGTTGACACTTATTTTTGTTTTCTGGTTATTTGCATGTGATTCTCATTGTAGATGTATGATAACTTTGTTTCAAGACATTTGATTAAGTGCACAATTAATCCTGGAATTATTAGGCTTAGGGTTGTCATTTTCTTCCCCTTCCCCTTATTCTTATTTGTTCACTATGTGGTACTCACTCCCTCTCATCTCCCCTTCCGTTTTGATGTCAGGATGATGAGAAGTTCCTGACAGACCTTTTTGCACAGTTAACAGATGAGGCTACTGATGATGACAAAAGGCACGAACTGGTATGCTCAGATTTTTCTTTTTTAATTCAGTACTGTAATCTTTTTTCTTGTCCCTTGTTTCATAGAGTCATTTTTGTTTCTGCCTAATAGGTGAACTTCCTAAAGGAATTCTGTGCATTCTCACAAACGTTACAACCTCAAAACAGGGACGCTTTCTTCAAGACGTTGTCAAACATGGGCATTCTACCTGCATTAGAGGTCATACTGGTGAGTGCAGTGATGCTGATATACAATCAGAATTAAAAGACAATTAAATTAGAGAGACTAAAACCAACAATGAATTTCTTGTGCCTACCTTAATGTCTGTGAATTCAAAACCAGGTTTAGTTTATTCATCTCAAAGCTATTAAAATCACACCAGTGAGCCACATCACTGCACTGGGTGACATGTTTTTTCAGTGAACAACAATGGAGTTCAACAGCAGATTCACAAATATGGTGAGCACACAAAATTGTTGGTTTTAGTCTCTGTATGGGATTTGTGAAAAATAACCAAAAAACAGGAAATCACTGACATTGTCCTTTTGGTTTATTGGGGGAGTTTGTTCAGGCATAAAAGGAATTTGTCTCTTGTCAGTAGCTTTGGTTGTGGTTGGTAAAACTCTATACCTGTTTTATACAATCCTGTTTGGTTGCCAGGGACTGTACACAACACCAAAACACCTTGTTGAGAAAACAGAACTTGATTCCTCTGTGGGGATTATGTTGCACTATGTTTTGACTGAGGAGGTAATTTCATGATTTGTATTTTTTGTGTGCAGCTCCAGTCCAACTGAATGACACAAAGTTTGTTTCTTGTTTAAGGATATTTTCATATTTGCTCAATTTCATCTTCTTGCATAGACTATGACACAGCATTTTTTGCTTGAACAAGACAAATGGAATCCAGTGCAACTTTTTTGTCTCTATAGCCTTAAACCCTGAGGCTTGCCATTTAGCATATACTGTATAGTTAAGTACACATGGAAATGAAAGAGTCCGGGTAAAGAAGAATGTGTAGGAAGGAACATTTTCTGGTTTGGAGTTGTATTATAGTTGAATTGTCTTCCCACATCTTGTCAGACACTTGCTGAACTGATGCATTTAATCATCCTAAGGCGTATTATCTGTCAGTAGAATAAACTCTTGGGTGGTGTTCAGCTACACTGAGATCCAGTTTCCAATACATTCAGAGGTGGCAAGACCACATTCATGATCAGTTATGTGTGGATGTACCACAGTTTTG